GCAAATAAATATATATTATATAACAAATAAGCTATATGCAGTATATATAATACAGAAATGTTGGCAGGGCAAGTATAAAATTGAAAGAAGGAAAAAAAAGACAGAAAAAAATATTTTAAATGTCATAGAAAAATGTTTGAAAAAACTAAAAGTAAATGAAAATATATATAATATTATTTCCAGCAAATAAAAATGTACAAATAGATTGCTAAAAGATAATGATAATGGTAAATAGTAAATAGTAATAGTAAATAATAACACAATTTCCACTTTGAGGTGAATCATTCCTGTCATGGATTTTCCTCAAATCAATTGGGCTCACTTTTCTGCTCGCTGAGAGCATTGTAATTATGTGACGTTAGCGGTGACCAAGAGTTTTTCATGGCTCTGTGATTGCAGAATGGCCTAATGATGCTGACTAAAGACTGCACACTCAGTATAGATGGCTAGATTTTTATTTTCAGCTCTGATGAGGCCTGAAGACATTTTCTTGTTCTTCTGTAAAGACTGTAAGGCACACACTCCCGTCTCGATGTCACATTAATCAGCGGCGGTTAAACAAACACAGGGTAGCAAATAGATATATATTATATAACAAATAAGCTATATGCAGTATATATAATACAGAAATGTATAAAATTGAAAGAAGGAAAAAAAAGACAGAAAAAAATATTTTAAATGTCATAGAAAAATGTTTGAAAAAACTAAAAGTAAATGAAAATATATATAATATTATTTCCAGCAAATAAAAATGTACAAATACATTGCTAAAAGATAATGATAAGGGTAAAAACGGGCTCGGCTGGGCCAGCAGAAAGGCCCTGTTATCATATGACTTTATAACACCTAGAATATCGCATTATGGACCGTTTTATGATAGATTTATGATGCTTTTTGGGAGTTGTTGGAGCTTCACAGCCCCTGTTCTTTGTACTATTGTGTTCCATGTTGTAGAATGACACGAAGGGTGAGTAAATAATAACACAATTTCCACTTTGAGGTGAATCATTCCTGTCATGGATTTTCCTCAAATCAATTGGGCTCACTTTTCTGCTCGCTGAGAGCATTGTAATTATGTGACGTTAGCGGTGACCAAGAGTTTTTCATGGCTCTGTGATTGCAGAATGGCCTAATGATGCTGACTAAAGACTGCACACTCAGTATAGATGGCTAGATTTTTATTTTCAGCTCTGATGAGGCCTGAAGACATTTTCTTGTTCTTCTGTAAAGACTGTAAGGCACACACTCCCGTCTCGATGTCACATTAATCAGCGGCGGTTAAACAAACACAGGATTGTTATTGCCTGCAGATGTACAAACGGTTTCACAGTCATTATCGTTTTCCCTCCATCATTTCATTAACTGTCACCCTTTTCACTCTCATTCCATTTCTCATTCTCTGGCTTGTTCTCGACCCTGAGCGCTGAACATCAAGCTCGGAGCTAAATATTAAGTGGCAGGTGTATTTAGTGACTCGTGTAGAACCTTCATAGACAGCTTTTTATGCTTGCATAACAAAGTAAACTGTCCAAGCAGGTCTTCAAGTACTGTGATCTGGCATTTGTCCTGACAAAGTCTTGTTCTTTTCAAAGTCCTATTGGGGGGGACACTCAAAAGTCCCTCCAAAATCATCTTTAATTAGAGTAAAGCAAGCTGAGCATATTCTCATGATTAAATTGTGATGTTAATTGGATTTAAGTGCGTACCAACAATATTAATGTAGCTTATACTTAGGTTTAGGGGAATAAACTAAAATAAATAAATCAATAACAGCATAAGGGCGGGGTTTGAGTGACATGAGGGAGAATACATAAGGAGAGAATTTTCATTTGGGGGAAATTATTAAAATACATTTTCAGAATAGAATATATTTGAAGAAAAAAGATAAATTAAAAGATAATTTATCTAAAGAAAACTTGACAAAAAAATTGTAAACAATATAATTATTATTTCTAGCATAAATATACATGTCTCACACACACACACACTAGAATATTAAATTAAAATATAATAAAATATAAATAAAATGATATATTAAATAAATGTGTGTGTGTGTGTGTATATATATATATATATATATATATATATACATACACAGTATATATAGAATCATTAAAAACCTGATCATTTTATATGAGGTTTGGGTGATATAATACCTCAGTGTATTGTGAAATGAGTTTATGTTCATCATAATCCATGCCATGTTCTGCCTCTGGTTCTCTTGCTAAATTTGAATGCAATCTCTCCTGCAAGTCAAGGTGACCATGGAACCTTATTAATGTTGTATCGCTTTAGGCTAATTGTTCCCTTCTCTCATCTCTCTCAGTCTCTCGCTCTCATTTACTTTAAGGGCTTCCTGTGCTTCCGCATCACAAGGTCAAGCAAATGTGTTTACTGAACATCAGAGGTTTTTCCACTGTCAGGTCTTTTTGTTTAGCCATGCTGAGACAGACCTCAAATCAACAGTGAAACTGCAACTTTCTTCTCTAAAGCAATTTATCTGTTTATAGTGAAAAAGAACATGCTGCACGACTGAACACAATCATAGTCAATCAGAATATATCTGATGCTGAATATATAACGATCCGGCAAAACTCAGCAGAAGTAGAAGCCAGCAAAATTCTTCTGGTTAGGACAAAACCTGAGATTTACATACAAGTGATTTTGCTGCTTGTCACTTCATCGTGCTGCACCTGGTTAGGAAATGCTCATGTCTTTTTAACGTGACTGTTTCTGTCTTTTTCACTCTTGCTGCAGGTTAAACATTTTGCTGGGCGGCATGACTCCATTCTACTTCCACCTGGTGAACGTGTTTCTGCACTGCGTGGTGACGGCGCTGCTCATGCTCACCTGCGAACAGTGTGTGTTTGAAGACAGCAACTTCTCTTTCCTCACCGCACTGCTTTTCTCTGTTCACCCCATTCACACCGAAGCTGTGAGTGGACATGCTCAGCATTTTGTATTTCTACTTATTTCGACCGTCATCTATTCTGAGTCCGTATGTGTTGTTGTATGGCAAGGGCTGTGCAATGGTAATAACAAAAATAGCAGTGTAAGGGTTTGGAGTGACATGAGGGAGAATAAATTAATTAATTAAATATGAGAGAATTTTCATATTTGGGCAAAATTATTTTTTTAAATTTATCGTGAAGAAAAAAATTCTATGTTTTGATCAATATAAATGCTATAAATAATATTTCATATTTCCATAATGTTTTAAATATATAAATATTATATGCAATTTATATGTCAATTATATAAATAGATGCATATATACAGTAATACATATATAATATGTAGAATCTATTTATTATCTATTAAATATTTTGATGTGAAATGTGAAAAACATCAGTAAAGAAAAAAGAAAACTTAACATTTAAAAACTTAAAATTAATTAATTAATTATCAGAGAATTTTCATATTTGGGAAAAATTATTTTAAAACATTTATTGTGAAGAAAAATCTATGTGTATAATATTTTTAATATATAGGTAATTTATATTATAGATTACATTATTATATTATATGCAATTTATATGTCAATACACATAAATATAAGAGAATTTTCATTTGTGCTCAAAATTATTTTAATGCATTTTCTGAATGTTATATATTTTTATGTGAAAGAAAAAATATTTTATTTTGCAGAAAAATTAATTGTTAACATTTAAAAAAAAATTAATTCAATTAAAAAATTTGCACATCTATCTATTTATATAAATGCTATAAATAATATTTAATCTTTATATAACATTTGTAATATATAAATAAAATGTGTGTATACTTTTATTTATTATTATTTATTTAATATATACAAAATTAATGTATTAAAATGTTTCAATAGTTAATGCAACATTCAGGATTTCTGTGTTTAATGTTTTATGAAATTTGAGGGTTTCTTTGGGCTTCATAGAGATGTGGACTGTGTTTGAGTTTTTCTACGGCAGGCAGTCTCTTTCAGAGCTGCAGTTTGTTAACAGTAGAGCGTTTGCTGGGTTGTTTGGAGTGAGTCCATGCCACCGAGCCAGACTCCAATCAGCTCTGTGTAAACACCATACATCAACAGCTGCATCCCACCACCATTAATGAGACTCACATTCACATTCACACCCCACACACACACACACACACACACACACACACACACAAGGCCACTGGAGGAGTTGCTGTCCTCAGAGTTTTGATTGATCAAGCAGAAATATAATTAGTCTCTGGATAAATAAAAAAAAAAAGACAAAGAGAAGGTGCTTTACTCAACTCTCTGTGTGTGTAGAATTATCATAGTTTTCTTTCTCGTTTATTTATTGCCACTTTCAGGGTAGGGAGCAAGAGATGAGAATTTAGAAATGATGGACGAATAGGGGATAATAGGATTGCGAAATGTCACAAGCCGGATTCAAACTCACATTAACTGAATGGGCACCATGGCATAATGTATCAAATATGCTGTTAACAGATTAGCATCCTTTTCTAACTGTACATAAATCAAGTTTTCAAACAAGTTTCATCACAATTTAAACCTCAGGATGTGATGTTCTCTTTAAAGGGCACTCCCTTTAAACAAGTATGCATAATGCTGTACAAAATAGTATCATTAATGTTATAAATTAATTTTTGAATTTTATAAATTTAATTAAAATAATTCTAAATGTTCTTTATACTTGATGAGTACAAGTTCATTTTTTGAGTTTTAATTAGATACATTTTGTTTTTATAGTTTATATATATAATAATTTTTTGTAGTGGGGTCAATAAATAATATATAATTTTATTACATTTATACAAATTTTAGATACAGTAAAAATTGTGATTTGTGAAATATATCAATTTAAAATAGTTTTCTATTTTAAAATATCTGCATATTAGAATAAAGGATCATCTGACAATAAATACTGGAGTAATGACTGCAAAAAATTCACCTTTGCCATCACAGGAATAAATTACATTTTAAAATATGTTCAAATAAAAAACATTCTTTAGCATTGTAAAAACATTGTGAAATATTATTACAATTTAAAATAATTTTTATTTTAACAATTTATTTTAATGTTTTTTTTATTTTGTTTTACTGTATTATTTTGCAGCCTTAAGAGACTTCAAACACCAAAAAAATCTTACTTATTCCAAACTTCTGACTGTTAGTGATGCTTCATCTCTTGCTTTCACTCTCCACTATCTATTACATAAAAAAAAAAAAAAAAACGTAAAATTTTTTGCCTCAAAATTGCAGCCTTGAACACATGCTCCATGGTGTCTTGTGAAACAAAATAGCAGTTATTTGGTGTCAATATGATATCCGATAAGGTTATCAGGTTACATCAGCTCCCTCGATGCATGCTAGAGATGTGCATCATTCAGCTTGTAACCAAGGGTTGTCCTCACAGCAGGGACTGCCGGCAGGCCATTGGCTAGTTGTTAGTCAAGAGGAGCATCACTTGACAGGCATCAGCAGGCTCCTGATGGAGGAGGAAAGGCCTCCGTTCACTGACATTCTGTCTCTCCCTGGAGACTGTACTGAAGCCTGCCTGCAACCTCACAGCCACCCGCCACTGGCCACTGCCCATATCGTCTTTTAATTGAAAAAAGCATTAGTTACACTTTTTTTCTCATTCTATTCTCCCATTCATGCAGTTTCAGACATTTCCGGATACATGAGTCATATTTTCCTGATCTTAACTTTTCTAGCACACTCGTTCACCGTAGTCTGTTTTTTAAAATCGCAACGCCTGCTCGGCTTTCAGCTGTGCGTGTGCGATAAAGTAAGTTTGTGTACGTTTCTCTCCACTATCTGTTCCTCTTAGGGTTTACATTTGCAGTGTGAGTGGAAAACAGTTTCTGGATTTGGTTTTGCAGTAGTCAGATGTTGTGTGTGTGTGTATTTGTGTGTTTGTGTGTGTGTGTGCAGACCCTCCGTTGGCAGGGCAGGGCAGAGCCCGACTGCAGCTGTTCTTGAGGAATTCCTGTCGAATTAGGTAATTGGCTGAAATGAGGTATAGCTGTGGGTCTTTCTCAAAAGTGCAGCGTTTCAGATCCCCATCTTGATATACAATCAATCCGTAGATGTGTGTGTGTGTGCGCGCATGCAAATTTAATTGTCGGGCTTAACATGGGGTAAGAAGTAGTCGCAATTGAAAACCTTTGAAAGGGCCTCAGAGATCTATGGATCCACTTTATGGACCAAGCGTCTTAAAACACAATAGGAACATGATTCTTTATTGTATAGTATGTGTCGATACTCTCTGCAACTGTCCAGGGTGAAATACTCCATTATAGGAGGCAGGATAACAGTTTATTAGAGCTGGTAATTGCCTGTTTGAAGCAATCAGTTGGAAATGTGTAGGAGGACAGGAAAGTTTAAATGATAACTGCAGTATTCCCTAGCTGCTGCATGCATTACGACATTAGGGTGGCGTTCATGTGCGCTTATCTCATAAATACTATTATTCCGACATGACCCAAAGGCAGCATTTATACACGCTTTTAGTGGGTGATTTTGTGTCTGCAATAGTGCTTTATTACAGCAACTGTGAAAGTCTGGCGCTAGATTTGCTGACAGGTCCACTGGCCCGACATTTACATCTGTATTCAGCCCATAAACACTGCAGCCGGACTGTAATACCACACAGACGCTGAGCTGTATTAAGAGCCGCTGGGCTTTATATGTTTACATTTAAGATGATGTCTCAGAGTAGTGAAAAACACACACACACACACACTCCCTGTCCCTCACCAGTGATGCGTGTATGGTGTGTTGCTCCGGGGTGTGTCTTCTGGAAGTGTGTGTGTGTGTGTGTGTGTAATTCCATGGAATTCTGCGTCTGGGGGATGGGCTTCAGAAACCCTCCAGATGTGGAGTGTGTCAACTGTGGGATCATTTGAACATTTGTGCCTCTGGCAAAAACAAGCAGGAAAAAAGTGCAAGAAAACAGATTGGAGAGGATAGGAGGACTTTATGGATGATGTACGTTTTTAGGGGGATGGGGAGATAAAAGGACGGAGCCGACAGTGCCAGGGAAATAAATCTCTCTCTCTCTTGCCCTCACGTTTTCGTTTTCTCCTTCCCGCTCATTCTCTCCCCTCATTTGATTTCGCTCTGCTCCATTTGTCTTAAAAAGAAGCTATCGTTAAATGTGCTGTGGCTCTGCTTCATTCCAAACACACACACATGTATCCACCTTTTCCTCGCACAGTTCACTCTTTCACACCACCCTTTATGCCACAATGGAAGTGAATATAATTAGAATGTAGGATGAGCGTCAGCACTCAAACTATTTTGGGAGAGAGACTAAATGACATTGAAATTATAAGCAAAATTACATTAGTATTTTATCAAGGAAAAATGAACAACTTGAAATTGTGACCAGTTACTTACAACATCTAAAAACTTTTTTATTTTACCAAATAAAAAGGACAGCACTTTTAGAGTTTCATCCCCCTATCTGATGTGAGCATAAGTATTGGGACAGTTGAACTTAAAGCAGATGTAAAGCTAATATTTAATTGCAAATCCCTTGCATTCAATCACAGCAGTGAGTCTGCGACACATAGACATTGCCAGACTCTTGGTTTCATCCTTTGAAATGCTTTTCCAAGCCTTTAATACAGCCAATTTCAACTGTTCCTTGTTTTGGGGAACTGGCAGTGTGTTTTGGGTTGTATGCTTAGGATAATTTGCTGTTCCTTTTTTCCACACTTTTGCTTTCCCATGACAGATAATAGTAAATCTTTGTCTCATCTGTCCATAAAATTCTGTTCCAAAACTCATCTGGCTCACATTTGTGCTTTTTTGCAAACTAATCTTGCCTTTCTGTTTTTGGTGCTAATCAGGTGTTCATTTTAACCGGTTAACCTTTAACTGACCATATAGAATTTTGACCGATTAATAAAATCAGTTAAACGGTTTAAAGAGTCTTTTTTTTTTTTTGTAGTTTATCAAAATATTTAAAAAGATTTGCTGCATGGTTAAAATACGCTAATTGTTAATCGGAATTGTAAAAGGTTTGCCTTTATTTGTGTACATTCACAATAAAAACAAATCTTTGTGCTTTTGTAAAATAAGCCTAAAGAAAAATAGGATGCCGCTTTCTGCTGATTTCTTTTCGCGCAGCACAAAAATGAACTGAAACTCTGCATACTAGGCTACTTGTTACAGTTTTTCTTTCATTTTCTTAATTTATTATTTAAGTAAAGATATATTTCTTGTATAGGCCTATTTATTCATTATCTATTTATCTATATATAGCCTAGCTTTATGATGTTTTTCTCTGCTCGCAGAAGCGCTGCAGGTGCGTGACGTGATGCATGTGAATCCTCATGTTCTGTTGTTTGCTGCTTTTTGCGCATGTAAAATGAATCCCCGGGAAACAAATGTTAGTATTTTTAACGGGTCACAGACACTTATCCTTTCTAATTTAATTCAATTCTAATTTAAAATAATCTTGTCGGTTAACTTTTAATAATCGGTTAACGAGCATCGGTTGTCGGTTAGGAAAAATAACCAAAACGAACAATCCTAGAGAGGTTTGCATCTTGCTGTGTAGCCTCTGTAATTCTGTGTCAAAGTCTCCTGCGGACAGTAGATTGTCAGACCATCACTCCAGCTTTCTGGAGGTTGTTGGTGATTTTACAGACACTTATTTTAGAGTTCGTTTTCACAGCTTTTATGATTTGTCTGTCGTCAACGGCTGTTGTTTTTCACAGTCGACCAGGTCGTTGTTGGTTGCTGAAGTCGCAAGTGGTTTCTTTCTCTTTCAGGACATTCCAAACTCTTGATTTCTTCATGCCCGTAATTTTTGATATACCTCTAATTTGGGTTCCTCTTTTCTTTTAGCATCCAAATCGCTTGCTTGTCTCTCAAAGTCAGCTCCTTAGTCTTCATCCTGGTTTGTGTGTGTCATCATCAAATGCAAGAATCAGAATGCAGAAGCAATGGCTATAACTGATACAACACATTCCTTGCTTTTAATATCTGAAGAATTAATTCAACAGGACACAGCTGATCACTTGTCTTAGAAACACCTGTGAGCCAACTGTCCCAATACTTAAGCTATCAGATAGAGGGATGAAACTCTAAAAGTGCTGATCTTCTTAGTTAGTAAAACATCTATTTGTTGAAACAGCTAATAATAAAATGTGACATTCTATACATTTGTCTCATATTCATCTTTTAATCAGATTTCTTGACTGCACAAAAAATGTTCTGGCCCAATACTTATGGAAGGCACTATATATACACAGTCCACATCTCTCTCTCTCTCTCTCTCTCTCTCTCTCTCTCTCTCTCTCTCTATTCATACTCATATATAGATATGCATCATGGATTTGAAATATGTCATGCTTGTGTGTTACAGGTATCTGGGATCGTTGGAAGAGCAGATGTGTTAGCCAGCATGTTGTTCCTCCTGGCCTTTCTCTCCTATATTAGGTAACAGATCTGACAATGAAAATGTAATGCATTGATTACAGAATTTATTAATTGATTGTAACTATCCAAACAAAGAAATTTAATATCTATTCATTTTTATCCACAAGTTCTTGAGCCTGTGAACGTGAAACCTGGTGTATTTTTTGTCAATATTTGTGTAAATTTTCTTTCCAGTTACGTCTGTGTAATATTATCAAACCGAATAAAGGACAAATTTCTGATTTCATGATGTGTTTGATTGCAATTCCTTACTAAATTGTTGTTTTTAGCATTATTGAAAATACCTGTAAATCAGACCAAAATAATCCAATTTATTTGACTTGCGATACATCAAGAAATCTGAAATTTGGTCATGACTTGATTCATTTATTGATATTATTTAGATTATTATGATTTGTATGCTGAAGAGAGCCATGAATTAAAATTGTAGTCAGACTATGCGAACCCCAAATTTTTTTTTTTACTGCCATTAACTTTCTAAATTGTTCGTCAGTCTTAATTTGTTCATTTCTTATTATAATCAATACTGAAAACAGTTGTGCAATAATTTTAAAGGAAACATTTTTTCAGGATTCTTTGCTGAATATAAAGTTTAAAAGAACAGCATTTATTTGAAATAGAAATCTTTTGTAATGTAATACACATCTTTAATGTCACTTTCGACCAATTTAATGCATCCTTACTAAATAGAAGCATTAATTTCTTTAAAAAGAAATGACCCCAAACTTTTGAAAAGTACGGTAAATATGGTGACTTTCACTTCTTTTTTTTTTTCTTCCAGGAGTGTGTCAGCGAGCAGAATGGCTGACGAGTTTCCCCCCACAGTGTCTGTCTTGTCACTGGCTCTCAGTCTGTTGTTGGGCACCTGTGCGATGCTGGTGAAAGAGACAGGCGTTACGGTGTTTGGTGTGTGTGTCCTGTATGATTTCCTGGTGCTCTGCCACAAACCACTCATCTTGTAAGTGTTTGTGTGTTTTCTTTGCCATAATATTAGTGGATGCTGATTATTGTCAGCTAGCATGGCTTTAGAAAGCTCTATGTGTCATTGTATTGGAATTTTTACAGTCAGCATGTATGACAACATGACATCATTACTATCATATTTTATCACTTTTCAAACAATTCTCAAATTGTCTTTGATTGGTCGGTCACCTTTTTGATTTAGATCTGAAATAGCAATCATTTACATCTCTTGCTGGTGTGCAGTATATCTAAATGGCATGTAAAGGGCTCAAGGAAGGCCGCCTGTCTCCGTCTATGACGGAATATTCAGTGGAATGTTTATGGAGAATTCCACTGTGGCTGGAGTATCGGAGCAGCCATATGCTTTCAATCTTCAGCCCAAGGCTGACACATGCAGTCGGATTTCATAGCACAGACACTCATTACATTCATTAGGTTGAAGTTCGACCGTCCCTGGACAGACATTGATTGGTTGTATGTACTGTCTGAAAATTAAACATGCTAATGCATGCGGACACAATGTTTGACCTGGGGTAGTGACCTTTTTAGGAACCAGTTTAGTATGTTGCATTTCCACAATCGAATATATTCACAATGATTCTCTTTTGTATAAAACATTTAATAACATGATGAATATTGCAATGATTTAAGGTGCTTTCTATTTAGCCATTTCTAAAAAGCTTGCCATTAGATTACTTTCACATTCAAAAACGCAGTGGCAGGTTCAATTAATTTAGATAAAAATGTAGGTGCAAAATGTCAGTTTTAATACATTTATTCATAACTTCATTAATTCATTTGCATGATTACTCAAAGAAAAAATGTTCACAGATTTGTCATTTATGTTTGATTGTGTGTGTGTGTGTGGGGGGGTTTCTATAAAAGTGAGTAAATACGACATTTTATGTTGATTATTTTAAATTAAACATTTTGTATCAGATTATCAGATATAATATAATGTTATATAATCAATATAATATAATAATGCTTTTCATTATTATAAAGCATTTTGTATCAGATTCAAAATGTTTGATGTAAATTCAATCTTAATAAATAAATTAATTAATTTAAAAAATATATACATATATATTAATTTTTTTCTAATTGTTTTAGTAAAAAAGTTCGGCTGTATAGTAAAAAATATTTTTTTTTCTAAATTGAAATAAAAAATTAAACTCTTAAAATATTACATTGAATATTGTCAAAAGGACTTCAAACAATATCACTATCATATAATATAATGTAATATAATATTGAAAATTAAAAAAAGAAACTGTTTGTTAGAAATTGTTTTGCTATTTGTTTTGGGAATTTTTTTTGGGCTGTTTGGTAAAAAAACATTTTTAATATATATATATATAATCATCCATTTTTTGCATGACCACAAATGACAAAATTTGCATTACAAAATATTTCTATTTATCACATACCGGTAGACTACTCAAATGAAAGCAAATTAGTTTTTCGCTTCTTCTGGTATCAAACAAATTGTGAGCAGACGATCTAACCAAAGATCAGCGTACAGATCTGCGATGAAGAATACACAAAGCAAACTTCCAATTACAGCTTGGCTCTTTCGTTGGGCTGTGGCAGTAATTGGCATTCAAAGAGAGTCAATCAGGCGAGACAAACAGCAATCGCACTCCCCGACTCAACCCAAACTCTCTCATTCTCTCTCTCTCTCTCTCTCTCTCTCTCTCTCTCACTCTCTCGCTTAGCGTCAGCCTCATTTGCTTCAATTACAGTCTCAGCTACTTAAAATGTGCTCCGTGTCCAGTGGGTCTTCACTCTCCAAGAGTGTGAAAAGCTGAACAAAGGGGCTCATCAGTGAGTGGAAAATAGTTAGGGACCCCTTGACTGGCCCTTGGGTTCTCATTACTGTAGGAGAAAACACGACCGAGATACCAGACTGATCCTTGAGTGCTGTGTGCAAACATTACACCCCTGTATACACATTCACACACAATCCCATGCTCATTCCTTTCCCCCCAGGCTAATAAGTTGCTATCGCAGCCTTGCCATTTTGATGGTGTAAAGAAACCCCTTTTTCATGGTTTTATGGTTTTATTATGACATTAACAGTCCTAACAGCATTTTAACCACTCCAAACATTTTAGCAACCACCTAGAAAAAACTTAGAAACCACAAATGATAGGGAATGTTATCTGGCCAACTGCAACATCTGTGATACAGTTTGCATGCATATTTAAATATATATATATATATATATATATATATATATATATATATATCATGTTGCAGTAATGCATTATGTTGTCTAGCACATATCACTACGGCACTTAAATTATGTTCAGTGCTGGCGATGTTTGTGCAGTTGAGTCTCTCGATGTTCCCATGTGTTCTGCCGAGATCAAAAACACAAGACATGCATCTATTTCTCCACATTAGTCACAGAGCACATAACCTCAGGGATAGCAGAGACCTCACAGATAAACATGACATCAAACATCCAGTAGCAGAAGCTCCTTTAATCCATTATTAAGACATTTAATATGGATAATCTGATGTTTGTAGCGTTTATTTGTTTACGGGCATGTGCCTAACAAAATATTTAGTGTTCATATATAAATCTTTCACATTATTTAATTATATTTAAAATAATTATTTAATTATATTTATATATTTATTTTTTAAATTTTTTTTAGAAATGTAGTATTTTGCTTATTCAATGAAAATGACATAACAGAAATCATGGATTGTGTTTAAAAATCTCCCAGATTTTAGTAACAGCATTGCAAGACTTATGTGCGTTTTATTTATTTATTTGTTTATTTTTAGTTTGACCTCCTCAGGTTGATTTTAATTAGTCTAATGATTGAGCACCTCCTTTTACTAACCATCTGTTGAAAAAGTACTAAAATACATTAAAAAAGTAAGAAAAATCTTTTTTTTTTTATTTTAAATCCCATTCAATGACAGTGCCATTTATATTTATTAGGTAGATTATTAGACTTAAAGTAATATTTATGAGCTAATCAGGCATCGTAGTAACAGGAAGTTAACAGACGCAGCAGAAAAGAACATCCGTGACACTTATACAAACAGAGTGACATGGGCTGTGGGTCGGTGGCAGGATTGATAACACTCCGCAGCCTTAAAGAACAGCAAAGGAAAGATTTTCCTTTCTCCGTCTACATCTCCCTCTAGGGAATGAGGGCTCTGCAGCTTTATTTGGTTTTTAAAAGTGCCCATAAACCTTTGCTGCTACCCATGACCCTGGGGAGGACACGAGACACAAACTCTCTCTCACACACACAAAACACACACAGTGTGGAGTGTGTGATTGTGACTGATAGTCGTTGTAATGCCTGCAGACATGCTGTCTCTCAGTGGCCGTTTTGGTGTGTGTGTGTGTGTGTGTGTGTGTGTGTGTGTGTGTGTGTTTGCACTAAAAGGGGTGGAGTGTCTCCTATAGGCTTTATTATTATTAAATGCATAAGATGACACTTGTTTTCTCTCCTGTATCTCTACACCAGTGAAATATTTATAAGAGTATCAATTACGAACTCCTCACAAAGACCTGACATTAACTAAGTAAATGCTCCCAATTCCATTAACATGATTGTTTGTCTGCGTTTGTACTGTTAGGAGTAGACGTGCCATAATCATCTTATTCCTAGTTGCTATAATGCATTTAATGGCACAGCAGATGTTGACGTCTAATTTGTATATTCATAGATGGGGGTTTAATTATGCTTGGTTGCAAAAATGTAAAAATTGGAGGCATTTTAAAATGAAACTGCTTTTGGTACTCATTTTATTCCCATAATATTTCCAAGTGAAAGAGCATATTTAATGAGGATAAAAGGTCAGACAGGACTTAATTTTGTCCACAGGACTTAATTCCTGTGCAGGTTTGCATTTTTAGGACTCCTCCCCTTCTGAAGCACGACCAGCACCAATTGGCTGAAACTTGGTGGCCTTGGTGATGTCATCAGAAAAGGAAATTCATTTCATATGCAGAAAATGTGTTATATTGTGATGAAATCTACATTTTATATTTTGAAAATTGTTTATGGAATAACATGCACAAATGAATCATTCACAGTAAGACTGGGAACTTCTCCATTGGTTGAAAATTAGTGGCCTTGGTGATGTCATCAGAAAAGCACATTTGTTTTAGAGGCAGAGAATGTGTTTATATTTTGATTAAATCTACATTTTATATTTCGATTTCTTTAGAACAGTATGCACAAATGAATCAGTCACAGAAAGACTGGGAGCTTCTCCACTGGTTGAAACTTGGTGGCCTTGGTGATGTCATCAGAAAATAAAAGTTGTTTCAGAGGTAGAGAAAATGTTTGTATTTTGATGTAATCTACACTTTTATATTTTTATTACTTTGGACTAACATGCACAAATGAATCATTCACAGTAAGACTGGGAACTTCCCCATTGGATGAAACTTGGTGGCCTTTGTGATGTCATCAGAAAAGCAAATTAGTTTCAGACACAGAGAAAGTGTTTATATTTTGATGAAATCTACATGTTATTTTTTTATTTCTTGGGAATAACATGCACAAATGAATCATTCACAGTAAGACTGGGAACTTCTCCATTGGTGGAAACTTGGTGGTCTTAATGATGTCATCAGAAAAGTTGTTTCAGAGGCGGAGATAAAACATTATTAAGACAATTTGTATTTTTGAATAACATCCACTGATGATCACAATAAGAACAGGAATGTGAATTAATGAATTTGAATTCATTAAACAATAATTGTTCAGTATAAAACCCCTCCCTATTTTCCATATTTTCTCCTTTTCTTGTAACCAGACAAAATGCCAGAAAATGGAAATAGCGATAAAGGGCAAGGATAGAGGCGGGAGGCTTGCGTTTTTTAAAATACTGTGCTGTCTTTGAGTTCAGTTACCGTTCCCTGGAGTACAATACGCTCTGAAAAGCACTGATGAGCACACACACACACACACACACACAGTCATTAAGCACAGCTCTCTGCAGCTCTGTACTGAATCAATCAGCAAAATTGCGATGTGATGCCTGAGCTCCACTCCTCCCCCACCTCCTTCTCTCGCCTCTTTTCTTTCATTCATCTCACCCACGTTTCCAGACACAGCTGTCATGGTGTCATGTCACGCTGAATTAAAATTCACTGTACATCACAGCACTCTCAAAGAAGGATGATGCCATTCCAGTTTAGAGTGGCATTTTAAAGAGGACTGTGAGAGTGTTTGTGTGCGTGTCTTTTCACTTGTTTTCTTGCTGCTCTGTTTTCCAAAATGGAGAGGTAATTAATTGAAAGCAGCAGTAAACAGATTAATATACCCGTAAAGTAATTCGCTGATGGTTTGATTAAGTCAGTAATTAATAAAAATGAGTTAATCAGCTGATTGAGTTATGGAGTCATTAAACGACTGTCACATCTGGTTATGCTTTTGTTCCAGGCACCTGTCGCACTCCAGGTTGAAGGAGCTCGTCAGAATTTCCATCCCATTCATCAAACGCGCTTGCGTCATCTCGTTACATGTAAGTAGCTACGTTTTACTGCCAAATGGCACAATGCTTCCTTTGGCAAGGCACCTTCTGAATTTAGCTGTTATTCCTTAGACTGTGCTTTGACTTAGTGCTTAAAGATCTGGGCTGGATTATACTTTCAAAGTTTTTGTGGCTTTTAGTTCATGTCTGTTAGCTTTGAGCTAGCAACCAACTAAAAGCTGGCAGATATGTGCGTTTACAATTCACTGTTTTTCTCTTCCAAGAAAATTAACCAAAAATAAATAACCCTAACCATGTCCAATTAAAAAGTGCTCTTTAAGCATACTTTTTCATGTCCCTCCCCCCAATATTTTTAACAGGATATTTAGCAAACCAGTTACATTAACAGAGGTTATATCTTATTTTTTTATTATTTTAGATATTTTATATAAAATATATATTTTATTATCTTATTGTTATTACATTATCTAATTTCATTTTTTTAAATTACATTTAAATCAGCACTGGCTTTTCTATCACATTTGCGTGAACCCCATGACCTCATCTGTTCACTTGTAGCAATTTTTTGAAAGTTTTTTACTGTGTTTTTCTGCAGGTTACAGTCATCATGTCTTTCCGTTTATGGTTGATGGGTGGATCCATGCCGCTGTTCTCAGAGCAAGACAATCCAGCATCCTTCTCTCTATATCTGCTCACCAGGTCGGCCTGGCTGTCATCCCTCACACATCTTTATTTTAAAAGAGTGAACAGAGAAACTTGTTAACATACACACAAGAGAAATATGTTCTCATTCACTGAAGACCAGTGCTGAGGAAAGTTACTTTTAAAAGTCATGGATTACAATATTGCGTTACTCCATAAAAGTAACTAAAAGTAACTAATTACTTACTTTTTGTCACCTGAGCCGGGCTTGCTGTTTTGTTTTTTAATAACAAAAAAGATACATTTTTGGCAACTGTAAAAGCCCTTTCGCACCAAAAGTGAAATTTGGTGAAAGTGAAAGTGGAATTCAGCTTCCAATCAACACGGTGACAGGAGAGGTATCAGTGAATAATTGGGAAAACAAAGTTGTGGTACTTATTTGAAAAAAATAACTCGTAATCTGAAAAACGTAATCTGATTTTGTAACTCACGTTACTTGTAATGTGGGGGTTTGGACTAAAATGCCATTTAAAACCAGTATGGGGTCTGATGTAGTTTGGAACGTACACATCCATAAATAACAGAAAGAGAAAACTGTTCTTTTACTCATATTTCTTAAAATACACATGTTATGACCTATTTGGGATTAGATTTGACACAAGTCAGGAGGAAACTATCCAAAATACAACTTTTTTTGTTCTTGTTGTTTTGACCCGGAGAGGATTTTCTTCCTCCTGAAAATATTAATTAAAACTTAATGACTTTGCTCACACAGGGTGACCAGCCTACAAAACATTGGGTAACACTTTAGTATAGGGACCAATTCTCACTATTAATTAATTACTTGCTTATTAGCATGCCTATTATTATCTTATTGGCTGTTTATTAGTACATACAGTGGGGCAAAAAAGTATTTAGTCAGCCACCAATTGTGCAAGTTCTCCCACTTAATATTCTGCATAACCATCTATATCCATAATCCTACCCAATACCTAAACTTAACAATGACCTTACTATTAATAAGCAGCCAATTAGGAGATTATTGAGGCAAAAATCATAGACAATGGTTTGTTAGTAGCGGGAATTGGACCTTAAAATAAAGTGTGACCAAAATTGCTTATAAATTTCTCGTTTTGCTAAATTATTACCAAATATTTGGAATCGTTAGCTCATAGGCCTCATTGATCTGAGCTTATGCACCTCCGTTTTTTTGAGTGAAAAAAGCATTATTTGTGGATAATTGTGGATAAAAGCTGAGATGCATGAGCTCAGATCAATGAGGCCTATGATCAATCAGTTCCTAAAAGAAATACAAAACCAATAATATTGAATCCAAGTTTGAATCCAAAATTAAGACATAGTATTGTATTTATTATTACTATTATTTAGTCATTTAGCAGACACTTTTATCCAAAGCGACTTACAAATGAGGACAATAAAAGCAGTCAAAACTAACAAAAGAGCAACAATATATAAGTGCAAATGACAAACATATATATATATTATACACATACACACACACACACACAAAGAAAAAAAAGTAGATAGAATAGAAAAAATAGAAAGCTAGTGTTTGTTTTTTGTTGTTTTTTTTAAATAAAAAAAGATACATATAGATAAAGTAGAATTAAAATAGAAAGTGCTAGAGTTAGAGGGTCAAATAAAGGTGGAACAGATGTGTTTTTAGTCGATACTTGAAGATGGCTAAGGACTCAGCTGCTCGGATTGAGTTGGGCAGGTCATTCCACCAGGAGGGAACAGTTAATGAAAAAGTCAGTGAAAGTGATTTTGTGCCTCTTTGAGATGGCACAATAATACGCCATTCACTTGCAGAACGCAAGCTTCTAGAGGGCACATAACTCTGAAGTAATGAATTTAGGTAAATGGGTGCAGAGCCAGTGGTGTATGATCATTGTGTGATGAAAGATTTATAAGCAATTTTAAAAGGCTGGTCATTTTTTACAGGGAACACCAAATTAGGTAAAGGATTTCAAGCACAGCACAAGGATTAAACTTTATATTTATTCATTTATTACATTTAGCTTTACGTTTATTAAATTATTTAACCAGGCGTTCTGTGCTATCTTTTTAGGTTTCTTACATATTGCTACCTGCTCGCCTTTAATGCCTGGCTCTTACTGGCTCCCATAGTGCTTTGCTACGACTGGCAGGTAAATGGCATCAACATGAACACACAGCAGTTCCGACATCTGAGTGAACGCTTGATGATTGCTTGAGTTGTGATTGACAGGTGGGCAGCATTCCTTTAGTGGAGTCTCTGTGGGATGGACGGAATATTGCTTCCCTGACTTTGGCTCTCGTCATGCTGGCGCTGGGCCTGAACTGTGTTACATGCTTACAGGTGAGCACACACACACATTTCCACATGTCAAGACAACCGCAGGAACCACGTCTCCGCAGACACGTTCTGTCATCATTTATGAAAAACATACCTTGTTCACACCGGGACAAATATCGTGCGCAATTATCGCCGACGTTTAACCCCTCGTGACTAAACAAAGGGCACCAATGTGAGTGTGCACACCGACGTGCAAAATGCGAGGCGTAAAAGCATCATTTAAAAAAAAAATAAACCGCCTCGGGCTCGTCTTTTTTGTTTTGACGCGCCGCGTTAAAAACTGGCCGACCAATTAGATTGCCGCTTTTGTTCACGTGCCTGGAGCTGCTGAAGTTACAGTAAAACACGACTTTGTGGCGCTCAAGCACAAAACAGTCTTGCCGAGCACACATTGATACCTAATGACGAAGAGGAAGTAAGTAGACCAAAGAAGATGCATCGAGGCAAGATGTGTTGCAAATTAGCTTCGGCTACAAGCACTATGGTACATGCATGGGATGATTGTTTTCATCTATGTTTATTGTATCAGTCCCCAACAAATAAAACAATAAATAAAATAAATAAAGATGAATGTAGAGCTGCTGGTCTCACTGGTGTCTGAACACAAAGAGGTTTATGACTAACGCGACAGCGGCTACAAAAATCTCGATAAGAGGGAGTTGTTATGGAGAGGAATTGCCGATCAAATAGGATTCGATGTGTACCGAGGTATTTCTGTTTTTCATTAAGCACCGTCTAATGTCAGGGAGTTAATTTGCATGTTCACTCGGCTCATCGCCAGCGAAAATCGCTTGGGTATGAACACAAAAGATGCGTCGAAAAACGTCGGCGATAAGCACGCACGATAATCGTCCCGGTGTGTAGGCCTACGAGGCTTTAGTCTATAGAGGGCCTCTGAATGGAGTTTGGCCCAGTGACATTTTGGGACGGACTGCGGATGACCTCTGTTTGTGCTGCCAACGATTCACCCTAATGACTTTCCAATCTGTCTCCTCGGGAATGTTTACTAGGCTAATTATCTCATGCAAAACACACACAAATATACACACAGGCCTGAGAGGAAGTTGATAGTACCGATTTGTGGACGTGAATGTTATCAGCACATTTTTATACAAGCCTTTGTCATTTCTTGACACAGTCATTGCATGTCTGCTCACTTGTTGATGAATCTGAAGTTAATTAATGTTTCTGATGGACTGGAAGGCAGAAATCAATATGAAAACATTCATATTCTATCTGTGGATATGAGAGTGAGACTCCAGACAATAGCTTCGGTTTTATTATAAATTTTTTATCAGCATATCAGCCTATTGAAAGCAAACCGAGCGTGATACAGTTATGATTTCATCCCCCCCCAACCTCTCTTATTCTAGCTTTGATTTCATAACCAATTCTTACCTTTGTATCGACCCTTCATTCCTCAGCTGTCATATTTAATGAACTTATACATCAATTGAAACAATGCTAGCTCATATTTCAAGGATGCACACTCAAATAACAGTAATAAAGATATGGGAGCTCTATAGCAGTGTAGAAAAGCCCATCTTAGTAGTGCAAATATTGCCTAGAGTCAGTAAAAAATGTGTCCGACATATCATCAAGTGTGCTTTTGTGTGTGTGTTGTGCATGTTTGTGTTTGTTTCATTTCTGTTCATTTCACCCAGAATACCATAGCAATGCAGTTAAACACGCAGAAAAACATCGCAACCTCATAGTAACGTCCTAATAACCTCATAGCGACACAGTTAAAAACCACTCAGAATACGATAGAAAACACATGCAAATACAAAAAACATCAACATATTATGAAAACATCTTCATCAGTTTAACAACACATGCACACAACACAACCAAAAACAGAAACACACTACAGATACTCACAACGCAACCAAATACAGAAACGCACTACAAATACAAATGTATTTGGTTGCGTTGTGAGTAATTACAGCACGTTTCTGTATTCTGTTTGCGTTGTATTTGCAGCCCATTTCTGTATTTGGGAGTATTTGCTGCATGTTTCTGTATTTGGTTGCATTGAGTATTTGCAGTGTGTTTCTGTATTTGTTTGCATTGTGAGTATTTGCAGCATGTTTCTGTATTTGTTTGCATTGT